AAAAAAGAAACGTATTGTAGATAACACAGAAACGAACTTAATGACTCTTGTGGCATAAACGGGGTCACAGACGATGTATATGAACATTGAATTAATCAATGATACGAATAGAAGCATCCAATTTATTTTTTCGGCCATGTATTTTTTAATGTATTTAATGTAATTTTTATCTTTCATTGATTTCGGGGTACCCGATGCTCTGTTACCATTTTCGTGTCACATCCTGTAGTACCGACTCAGCAAGTTTTGCACCGCGAAAATCAAAAAATATGGATAGCGTTGCCAGATTTGTATCGAGAATTATTCATTGAATTAAACGTGATGCTATTTCATCAATGAAGGAATATAACGATTTAAAACAGAGATTGATGCAAATTGGAATGAAGAATTTAGTGCATATTTGACTATTAAATATTTAAAACTATTAGAATATTTTTATGAATAATATAATTAGATATGACGTTTCTTAATTTACAAATTTGTAAATTCATAATCTGAATAAATTATCTTTATCCCGTCGATTTGAAAGTTTGAACTTATCAATAAAATATTTATAAAAATATTGTTTACAACAAAGAAGCACATTATGTTGTAAATTATTTCTTGCAAAATTCATTCGTTTCGAAGTCTAATTTTATTAAACGATACCATACATATTTTCTTTTTTACAGTACGATGTTATATATTAAGACATACTCACTGAGTTGCATTTTCGACGGCCCAAATCATTTATTGTTGTGAATCACTTGCTGTGAATCACTGATTTTACCTGAAGGTTGGCCAGCGAAAAAGGTCATTATAAATTGAACTTTCATCGTGTGCACATCGATTAAACTTTCGAAGTGAATTTTTAAATATTATTTCTGAATATTCCAATTGTTTAAATTGTGCATTATCTAATATTTCTAATAATTTACATGAAAAAATTAAACAATAAATTCTCTTCACTAATGTTTCAAAGTGTTATTTAAAATTTTTAACTGATAATTTATGACAATCTCGAACGATGTACTTAAGAGAAATGATTTTGGATTACTGAATGAAATAATTAATTTAATTGTTTAATCGTAATATGAAACTCGTCAAAATTAATAAATAACGTTTAGAAATATTATAGAAATAAAATAATTTAATTGTTTCAAATTGAATTGTTCAAACTGTAAAATAATCCATTTCGATAATATTTTTGTGCAGTACTTAACAATTTTAACTATTTACTTACAACAATTGAATCAGTAATTGAAATCCTAAACATTATTTCATAGCTAGAATAATTAATTTATATTATAAATTATTTCAATCATAAAAACAGAAAAGACAGTTACATAATATATATCTTTCTTGCTTTCTGAAACAATAAACGAAAATTTTCATATGTTGCGCGATTATTTTAAAGCGACAATCACCGCTCAATTCAATTTTTGATTACATAACATTTCTCTACATACATTTCTATTTAATATACATCAATGCAGTTATAATTTAAAAATTAATATCACGAAAATGTAAATTTAGCTTTAGCCGATAAAAAATTAATAACTTAAAACATTTAACATTCTAACATATTCATGAAACTGTAAATCTGCGATAAACACTAGTAAATTATTGATTAGTATAATAAAAAAAACTGTTTTTCGAAATGCAAAAAAAAAATTATCAACTGTTCCAGATTACTTACGACCAAAACATTAGATTAACCTTGAGCAGTAGGGAGATTCATTACCAATTAAACTTCCGCCATGTTTTAAA